ACAACAAAGCTAGGGGTTGGGAATTTTCATCCCCATTTCACAGATGGCAACACCAAGGCTCAGACAGACGAAGTCACTTGCCCAAGCTCACAGCACAAGCAAATGGCAGAGCTGGGACTGACACTTAGGACTGACTCCAAATCTATGCTCTTCGTTTCTGAGCTGCCCCCAGACACCTCACAGAGAGGCTTCCAAGAGTCATTTAAGGGCAGCCAGGTGACATCAAGTCACCAAGCATTTCCTAATTGGCTCCTCAGAGGCACTCTGAGGAAGGTTGGGGTGAAGTTCATGAGATTAAAGGAGGCTTGAACATCATTTGGTCCAGCTTTCTCTCTTAGACAGGAATCCCCGTACCCCCATTGCATCCCATCCAGGTGGACATTCCTCAGTCTCTGAGGGCCCTGGAGGACCCTACAGATCAGCTGGAGGTAGGGGACAAAAACATGTGAGACAGTGAGGTCACACACACACCAGTGTAACAAAGGGTCAAAGGTCAAACTGTACAGGGGGAGGGGGGAAGGGCTGGAGCGAAGCGAAGGTGTGGGTGGATGGGAAGGGCCCTCTGCAAACCTCCCTCTTCCAGCTTTTTCTGATCTCCCTAGGGACCGAAGGAGCGAGATTGAGGGAATTAAGTGGGCAGGGGTGCAGAGCTGCTTGTGCCAAGTGGTAGAGGGTCTGAGATGTACAGTGTCATAGGGGTTTCCACTCTGTGTCACCAGTTAGAAAACATCCTCAGTCACAGCCCACGATAACCCACCTCGCTCTCACGCTCCCTCCTTTCCTCCAAGCTCGGAGCTACGGTTCATATTTAACACCTGTTAAGAAAGAAATCAAACCTACTCTGGCAAAAGTCGCTGGATCTAGGTGTGACACTGTTTGTTACCAGATTATTCCCAACCCAGCCACGGGGGAGAATTCAGGGCTGTGGGTCTGGACTAGAAGCAGATTGGACAGAGAACAGTCCACTGCTCTCCAAATCTCACGTTCATCCTGCCCTGACTTAGCTGTTCCATGGAAGAAATAAAGCAATTAGAAGCTGCTCTCCTAACAAAGACTGTGGAGGCACGTACGTCCCAATATCCTCCTTGGCTTAAAAAAACGGACTCAGACAGCTTTTCCTAAAGCGTGGGCTTTGTCTCAATGTCAGACCAGGGGCATGGACCGTGGTGGGCTACACACCGTGAGAAAGGCATTTCTTTTGCAGTTTTCTTTCAAGTCCTCTAGGGGAAAGCTTCATCTCAGCGCTAAATTGTCTTCAACACCTCTCTACCCTCAACTAATCTCCGTTTTGCAGAGAAAGTGGAGCCAACCACGGGGCTCAGAGTCTTGGCAGGCAGAGTGCCTTAGTTAGAATTTAATTACATTGTTTGGTTTCTATAGTTTTTGCTTGTACTGTATGGAAATGTATGGAAGTGCTACTTGTCCATGAATACTACTTGTGGGAGTGATATAAAGTTTCCTTTGAAAATTAAGTCTTAAAAGGTGAGTTAAGGGAAACAAGTCCATAAATAATAGTATAGAAAGACAAAAAAAAAAAGGTAACTATGTAAGGCAATGAATATGTTAATGAGCTTGATTGTGGTAATTAAGTCGCAGTATATACACACTTGTATAGCAAGACATCAAGTTGTCCACCTTAAATATATACAATTTTTATTTGTCAATTATACCTTAATAAAGCTGGAAAATATACCAGGGGTGCCAAAAAATGTATACAAGTGGACACTTTGGTCAGCGTTGCTCAAGCAGTAGTTCACCGTCATCAGAAGTGTCTGGACGCTGATGATAACCACTTTGTGCACCTCTTATGATTGCAGAAGTCAAACGTGACTTGAATTCATCTTTTGCTGTTGGTATATATTGAGTATTACAATTTTGATACAGTTTTCCTTTCTTAAAATGTGTATACATGTTTTTGGCACCCTCTAGCTAATAGTGCAGGAGGTCCACAGATGGGCAAAATCCTAACAGTAAGGTTCACTGTTTGGGGACCCTCAAGTTGGAGAGAGTGATGGAGAGGTTGGGCAGTCTGGGGATTTAGTGACTGTCTTCCTCTCCCACTCTGTCCCCAGGAGTACCCGCTGGCAGCCCTTGCAGGCACCGCCTGCCACTGTGGGTTCCCCACCACGCGATTTCCCCTCCACGAGAGAGAAGATGAACAGCTCTGTGCCCAGAAGTGCAGCGCGGAAGAGTTTGAGAGCTGCGGGACCCCCAGTTACTTCATCGTGTACCAGACGCAGGTCCAAGGTAAGCCAGGCCTCCCCCGGCAGATGCCCAGGTGACTCCCAACGGCCTCCCTCCCAGAGGTGCCCCGGTCAGTCCATTGCACACAGCCCATACTGTGCAGGGCAGAGGGCAGAGGGCAGGACTGGTGAGCTTGGCCAGGCTTAGAGATCCTGGATGGGCAACAGAGAGCGGGCCCCACAAAGTGGGGTTGGGTTCTAAAGACCCTCATCTCTCTCCCTCGGCTTTGTTTAGACTCCAGTGAGGAAGGATCAGCGTTTGTTAGTTTTCAGGGAGTGCTGGTTAGCCTGTGCAGAACTGTGTGGTCCCAACCTACAGCGTGGGTCATGCACAGGTTAATTATCCCCTGACCATGAATAGCTTTGAGGTAGGCAAAAAGGACACTGGAGCCTTTTCGATTGCCAATAAAGAGCGCCTAATCGATTGTTTGCTCATCCCCTGTGCCCTGCCCCCAGGCCATGACTGCTCTTCAATGTTTCCATGTCACGCTTACGGTCCTTACACACTGGGGAGGTTTGAGAGTCATGCTGCCAAAAGCCTGGTGCACCATGGATGGCTGCCATTTATTGAGCAACTACTATGTGCTAAGCCCTGATGTTCTTTCCAGGAACTTAATCATTATTGAGCACTTACTGTGTGCCAGGTGCTGTCTAAACTCTTGAGACTCAATTAATTCACCTAATCCTCACAACAGCCCAATGACAGAGGTGCTGTTTTTATTGCCATTTTACAAAGGAGGCAGCTTGGCATAGAGAGGTTGAGTAGCTCGGCCAGAATCACACAGCTGGGACAGGGCAGAGTTGGGATTCAAGTCCAGAAAATCTGAGTCCTGAGACTGCACTCTTAACCACAGCTTCTCAACATATATTATGCCACAAATACCTCACACACACTATCCATTTAATCCTGTAAAGTTTTAGCTCCATTTTACAGGTGAGGAAACTGAGGCTCGGAGAGGTGAAGTGCTTTGTTCAACGTCACACATCTAGGCCATCGCTATCCTAGATTGAAACCCAGGTCAGCCTGATTCCAAAGCTACACACACCACCGCCTCCAGCATCTGCTTTGATTTGTGGAGCTTAAGAGCCAAATAAACTTTCTTTCTCATGCTGAGAACAACGGCCTTTACCTTGAAGTTGGTCTTGGCCTCCCAGGCAGTATTTGAATGAAGAATTCTGTTTTCCAGGGAAACTGAAGTGCTGGGTTCTTTCTCCCTCTCAAAATCGTATGATGAAAAAACGTGAAACCTCCAGAAAAACTTGAAAGAATTACACAGTGAACACCCATATACGATCCCATACATTTTACATTTGTCAACATTTTGTTCTAGTTACTTTTTCATACATCTCTCCATTTCCCCATCCTTATTTCTTTGATGCATTTTGAAGTCAGTTGCAAACATTGTTACGCTTCAGTGTGCACATCATTAATTACAACTCGATATTTGCTGATGATTGTTTGAAACAACATTTACAATAGAGTGAAATGCGCAAAATAAAAAACAACCACATTCCAGAAGGTTTTACATCTAGGCTCCTTTCTGCAGCGTGTTCCCATGAAAACCATCCCCAGACCCACTTGGTTCTAACAAAGACAAAGATTTGATTTATTTTTTCCAAAGTCTGCTCTCCTCTGAACAAACAGATCAAACATGGCAGGCGGGAGGGGAGCTGGGTCTCTGGCTGGTAGCCACAGTTGATCGTGAGCCCTGTGCTAACACTCAACACACATTCTCGCATGTAACCCTCCTAACAAACCCAGGATGTGATTGTTGTCAAAAGTCCCATTTTACAGGAAATTTCTCTGAGGAAACTAAGGCTGAGGTTCATCATTTTCCCCGAGACCACCCAGCAACTGGGTGGCAGAACTGTCTTTAAATCTAGGAGTTCAAATTTCTCTCCTGAAGGACTGTCATAAGAAATCAATGTAATCAAAGGAAGATTTCAATAATGGCCAATAACACAGAACAGGAAATACTGGGGTGCAGTCATGGGAGGAATTGTAAGCAAGGCCGAGGGATGGCTGGTATCAGATGCGCTGAGTAGTCCAGCGAGGTGAGGCCGGATTGAACGCTGGTGACTTCGGCAGGAACTGGTTCTGTGCAGGGAGCAGGAGGAGCCCAGAGTGCAAGGGTTGGGGGCACGTGGGAGGACGTGGAATCGGGTGTGTGGACAGCTCTGCCGGAAGTGCGCCTGGGAGTGGGGTGAGGAGGGAAAGCGGTTGCCCGGGGGATGGTTAATAATGGAGCTCCAGTATCTGTTCATGTTTGAATGCTCATGTGATGAAGCCAGCTGAGAGAGAAGATGTAGAGAAATCGATGGAGCAAGGAGTCTGGGGAGGAGGGAGAAGGGGGGACAGAGACACTAGAGCAGGGGATCGCCCTTTCTTCCATGGAAGCAGCAAGGATGGCAGAGAGGGTGGGACGCAGAGCAGTGTTGTGAGGTCAAAGGGCAGGAGAGGGAGGTTGGCTTGCGTCCCTTTCATGGTAAATAAGGGTTGAGGTCATTGATCCAGAATAAAGAAGCGGGCTGGGACCAAAAATCCAGGATTCTCTCGTCTTCCTTTTTCATTGCAAAGCCCCCTACATGGGGCCTTCCCTCAGCTGCCCTTACATCTGTAGGGACCAAAAGAAGTCACCACTGTGTTTTCACAGCTCCAAGGTGCGTTGCAGTGGCACATACTTTCCATGAATTCTAACAGCAGTGGCATCCTGAGATCTCTGTAAAGTCAGAGACTCAAGAGTATCAGGATGGTAGTCACCTATCCCCAACCCATTTTACAGATGTGGAAGTTGAGGACTAGCAAAAAGGAATAACTATACCTTTTGAGTACTTTAGTGTATTAATATATTACATGCATTATTTTATTTAATCCTTACAAGAACTCTGCAAAGTAGATATTATTGTTCCCCACCCATCCATCCAACCACCAATGCATCCATCTATCCACCCATCCACCCATCTGTCCCCCACCCATTTATCTACCCATCCATCCATTATCCATCATCCAAGAAACACTTATTATCTCTACTACATGCCAGATATTATGGAAAACCCTGGGGAACCATCAAAGAACAATAACAGGCAGGGTTTCTGACTAAACAAATAATCCTTTGAATTACAGTTGTGAGAAGCGACATGAAGGAGACGACATAGTACGCTAATGATAAGCCCAGGAAGTCAGGGAGGGAAGGAAGGAAGGGAGGAAGGGAGGGAGGAAGGAAGGAAGGAAGGAAGGAAGGAAGGAAGGAAGGAAGGAAGGAAGGAAGGAAGGAC